ATTTTAACCAAAATCCCACATGCTTGATATAATCACTCAGTGCCTTTAGAAAGGGTTTCATACCTAATATGGACAAAAAAGGGCTCTGCTTTTTCAGAGATGTGACGTGTAGTGAGCAGGTTTGGATCCAGAAATAGACTCATCTGTGTTCACTTAGCTTTGGTATTTTTTGTGGTCTTTATTATAACAGGCAGGCACCTGCTGATTGTCCAAGTCTAGATTGCAATATTCAGCTTTAGAAAGCACAGCTACCCCTCAGTTTCTCTTGACTGACATCTGTTTGGCATGGAAATGTCAAACACAGCGTGGGGAAGTTAATGATTGTATCAGCAGAGCCTAATGATGAGACAAAGATAAAAATGTACTGGTTTCTGTATGGATAGAGGGGAGTTGATCAGCCACTTTGGCTAAACTTACAGGTGGGCAGAAGCTGATGGAAAGGGTGACTGAGCTCCTTTATCACAGAGTTGTTACCGATGGAGATGATGCTGTCACTCTTGCATATCAATAATGCAGCGAGGCTAAGTGATGCCAGGGCATTCTTCTACAGCCACTTTTCACTCCGTGAGCCACAAGCACAGCTGACTCCACAAGATGCAAGGAAGTAGGCAGCCTCCCCTATTGTCTACCACCCCGCTTTCAGCTTTTTGGTGCTGGGGTTTGCTAGCCTACCTGCAGCCATTCTGTGCCATGACGGACGTAGCTCCTGGAAGAGGCAGCATCAGGGCTTCCTTGCATTGTATCTTGGGACTACATGTGACTGCATCTGAAGTCAACAAGCTGCCTTGTTAAAGTTACAGCCTCTAGGAAGTGTGTGCCTGCTGATCTGGTGAAACAACTACACAAAACTGGAATGCTGCATCGCAGCTTATTGAAAATACAGTGGGAAGCTGCTGTGCGTGGATGTCGTGGCCATCTGTGCGTGTTGTACACATGCAGGATGCAGGCAGTCCAGCTCTGATCTGAGGACCTTGGCAGTGAGGATGGTGTTTCTAAAGTGCTCAGTATTGGCCTAATGCTACTTATTTTCCAGTAAATAAGCTGAATGCAACAAGTGATTGGACCCTTCTTTCACACACGGTGCTGATGGGCCCTTCCCTGCTGGGGGGAGAGTCCAGCATGCACGACACGTCAGTCATGCCCGTTTAATCCATTTGCTTCTCTAGGAAGTGTCCTCAATAGGATGGCTTGTATAGGGTGGGGTTATTCTGGGGGGAGAAGAGAAGAGGGATGTGCATCATTGATTCATACTTGCCACTGTTTAAGTTATTTAAGAGTTTCAGGTTTGTCATGCATTAATCTGAGGAACTGAATGATTTAGTGCGTGCAGCTTGCCTTTGCGTCTGAGCTTGCTTTCTGTAAGTAGAGCTCTCTTTGAACACCATGGAGTGAGTGGGGAACCGAAGCCATCGTAGCCTCCCTTAGCACTGTAGTTCTCGTCTCCCAGCACACAGCCCCTGGGTGGCCCCACTCCTCGTGCTGCGGCAGGAGCAGAGGACAATGACAGCACAGCGTGAGTTACAGTCGTAGCTAAATGTGCTTTTATGGCTGCAAGCTGGAGTGGTACTGGAATAGAGCTCCAATGCGCTGTGATTTCCAAAGTGGATAAGCACTATTTATGCTTTTTAGTTTCCTGTCTTATGGAAGAAATATGATGCTTTTCCAAGAGTAGCTATTTTGATGGAGAAACAGGTAGTGAAAGATGTCACAAGATGGCCAACTGTGAGATCAGAGAGAGAAGTGTATTTCCTTATGAACTCCAAATTAATATGTAATTTCAATCTCCTTTTACTGTTATCAGCCCAGTGGAAAAGGCCCACGCCTACCTGAAGTTTATTGTGTCATCAGTCGGCTGGGGTGCTTTGACTTATTTTCCAAGGTAAGAAGAGATTTTTTTTCAGTACTGCTTTTTAATTTGATTGTTTACTGAGACACATCCTCAGCGATGAACCAGATGAGAAGAATTTCTTCCTTTGATGGGAGATAACTGTATTTTACAGTTGCTGTTTTGGCTATTCCACCTCTATTATTGGGTTCATCAAAGTATGTCTTATTACTTCTGTGACTGAGGCAGAACTTGATTCAAAAAACATCTGGGTGTCTGTATGATCTGGCTGACTGAAGTTTTTTCCATTGTTTTCTAAAGCTGTTCTTTGCTGAGCTGTAATTCTTGGCATCCACAGTTTGAATGATTGGCCAGTACCACTTTTACTCCAATACCCTGTGGAATGATGAGGTTAAGAAAAAAGATTATTTGATGAGTAACTTCTATATGATTAACTATTGACAAGGGTTTTTATCCTAGGAGGCTAAAGCAAGGATAATCTTTTAATTGGCTTCCACGTTGATGAAACCAAAGTTGCTTCGTATGCTGATGTGGTTTACCTAGGTAACACGTTTCTTGACACAGGAGTTTCAAGGCAGTAAGCAGGGCATTGCAGCTGAACTGCGGGATTGACTAGCCATAGAAACAGTTAACTGCCAGTCAGCTTCAGAGCCACGCGCATTCTTCTTTTGTGAGACAAAAGGGTATTAAAATCAACTAATAACATTTCTGATTGATTAACATTTGAAATCTCTCTCTAGCTGCCAGTTAAGGCCTCTCCTCGTCCTCTGAGAGAGTGCCCTGCAAAATCCAGTGAGCACCTTGGAGTATCTTATAGAATTTGCTGCTCAGTTATGGGAAATCTCACAGAACTTACACAGATTTTTTTAATTCACTTGTATAGGAATAAAGTTGAAAAGAACATGTAAATCATTGAAGTTAACAGAAATCATAGCATTTATATTGTTCATATGCTCTAACAGTCGTACATAATGTAATCTTCAAAGCAGGTTTCAAGCTTTCTAGAGAAAACTTTGTTTAATGCATATCTTGTGAAGAAAAGCAATTGGGTTGCAACAGTTAATTGAAACTCTGCTTCTGAGGTCTTTCATAAAGCTCTGAAGTCAAGGGTTTTTAACTGTGCCTCTTAGACATAATTTGTATCTAAACACCGGTATCTGTGAGCGAAATGGAATGCATTGTTCTGGGACGATAACACAGCTCACCAAACTCGTGGTATGGAGAGATGTCATGAGGCTCTTTGTTTGCTTTTATGTTTTTATCTAATTTTGATACTGCACTAATTTTCAAAGGAAAATTTGGGAGAGGGAGAAAAAAGGAAAAAAAAAGAAGATTTAAGTATCCTCCTTACAATCAAGTGTCACTGCAGCTGAGGTGTTAAGTCTGCAGCAAACAAAGGAGGTCATACCAAAATTGCACATAATCTGCTTTCCTGGTTCAATCTGTAACTTGAAAAAAACGTGCCTGTTCGTCCAGCCAACGGGAACCAGAGGCTGATGGGCGAGTGTAATGTCCCTGGCTCTGGCAGGGGCTGTTCCCAGGCATTGTAGCAGGTGGTCCCTGGCTACATGGGCCTCAAATTCTTGGTCTGTGCAGGAATGAAGGCTGTCACTCAATTGCATGTTGGGCCCTTAATGGGGCTGTAGCAACTCCTTTTCAACTAACGGGCTTCTGGAGGGGCTGGGCCACAAAAGGACCCCATTGCACTGGAGTCTGGCTGCAGCAGTAGCGTCCTACGAAGAGCTGCTCACCTCCTGCTGGTACTAGCACCAGGGTGGGAGCAGAGTGTTTGGCAGTGTGCAGGACTGTCTCCAGGCCTGGGCTGGATTTAGCATACCTCTTTAGCACATACTCCAAGCACTGCCTTTGGAAAGGGTTTGCACGAAACAGCTGTTAAATGAAGGAGGAAGAGTATGTGCCTTAGCATCCCTGTTGGTTTTGAAGACAGATGTAGTGTGGATGGAGACAGAAGTTCTTGAAAAGTCAGACAGTCTCTTTTTCCAGCCTAGTAAGAGGAACCTGGGCTGTCCTAATTGATTAGTGAAAGAGAGGAAAACAATCATGAGGGTGCACTTTGCTGAATTAGTCAAAACAAGGAACAGTTACCTTTACAAAAAAAAAATAGTGAGCTATGAAAGATATTAAACCTTGGATATTATTTATCAGAAAAGCAAAAGGAGTCCTCTGTTTTAAAAGGTTTATCATGCTGTTTCTGATAGCCTGAATTGTTTTCATGTTCCTAAAAGCCTTTTATGCTTACTGCTGCAATACCTGCTGCTACGACAGACTTGAGAACCACAGATATCCTTACTTCCAGCCAGATCATGTTTTCAACAGATGTATTTGACCATTTTATCTTCTGAGATCTCTGTTCAACTTTTATTCAGTTTAAATGCTTCTTTGTGTTGGTACTGTGAAGGTTGTTGGGACTGGGAGATGACACACACACACGGCCCCCGATGCCAGCAACATAAAGCCTCAAACAGTGGCTGCAGAAAAGGAAATAGGTGTTGGGTACATTACAGCTGTGTGTTGCCAGTGTGCAGGAGACTGAGGGGCCCGGGCCATAGCCTCGGTTCATTCCTG